ACCTAATTTTATATTTAAAATATTTGTGTTAAAACATTTTACTTTTATAATATTTTGATAGTTTGTTTAAGTTAAATTATTTTAAGTTAAAAATATATTTAATCTTAACTATTTAGAAATATTTTAAATTTTAAAATTATATTTTTTTGACATTGTGTTTGTATTGCATAATTTATAATTAATTTATCTTGAATTTGAATTATATTTGTGGAATATATATATATATATATACACGAACAGTACAACTTTAATATGACACGTCAAAACACTCTGAAATCAAAACACGAATAGTACAACTTTAAAATGACACGTCAAAACACTCTGAAATCAAAATATTTCATTGTAATTAAAAAAATAAAACACTTTCTGAAATAGAATTGACAACCTTACTTTAGAATATTAGCTGATAGCTCTGGAGGCGGCCTCTTAACAGTAATAGTTCATTACTAATCTAGATGAGTTTATCACGCAAAATACACAAAAAATTACATGAAAAAAATTCTTCTCTCTCTTGGGAAATGATAGTTTGTGATGCCACGGAGAATTTCTGAAAGTATTAGATAGAACAAAATAACTTGGGTGATTGCCGGCGGTCAGGGTTCTCCACTGAGCATTTGTTTAGTATTGTTGTAATAATAATTATGTATTAAAATAATATATTTTTTATTTTTTAAAAGCTTAACTTTCACATAGCATATCAATATAATTAAAAAACATAAAAAAATAATTTTAAATATAAAAATAAAATTAATTTTAAAAGAAATATTTTTAAAATACAAAAATAAACAAGATGGAAAATTAGCTGGGAAGACATAAAAATAAATAGAGTTACCTACCAGGAGCAGGTTTGTTTTTATTATAAACAACATCATGTATAATATGAAAAAAAAGATTTTTTTATTCAAATCAAATAAACATTTTTGTGTGTGCATTAAAGTCATTTTAAAAATTTTATAGAAGAGTTTGATTTAAAACAATTTTTTCCTTCCATCCCACATACTGACTTGTCGAATAATTTAAGAGATTTTGCCTCGTAACATATAAAGTTTATTCTTAAAAATTGAGGATCGATATGCAATTTTTCTATTTACATAAAGTGACCTAATTAAATAAATTTGCTCTCGACATTAAAAATAAAATTATTACTTAGAATTCGTCACCGACCACACGACATGGCATTCGGAGTACGGCTTAATGGCAAGCGTGTTTGCTAATCGTTACTCGATCTCCATGTTACATGACCAAACAGCTCTTATTAATTAACATATATTAAAAGGACTTGGTGTTGCTATGACTGTGAAATGCCAAGCCCTCTTGCAACTAGATCCTCAAGGGTAGTTTATTAAAAAAAAATTATATAATTTTATATTACAATAATAAGTTTAATGGGTATTAAATTTTAAAATTTATTTTAATTTATTTTTTATAAATTTTTTATAGTTTTATGACTCAGTTTTAATCATAAGTTCATTGAATTAACTTTAGTTTTTTTAATTATTTTTTTTAATATTATGTTAATTAAGAATTTAATTTTATATTTTATATTTATTTTTTATGGGTTATCATAGTCTTATAACTCAAAGTGAGTTTTGTAGGTTAGTTAGACTCGGGTTTTTTTAATAGAATATTTTTTTTAATTTTATCCTCCAATATTATGTTGTGTGAGAATTTGAATTTATAATATTTTATTGTTTTTATAAAGTTATCTAGGTTTTATAATCCAAATTTAGTACGTTAACTCAGGTTGACTTGATATATATTTTTTAATCTTTTAACATTGGGTTAATCAGGGATTGTGCTTCATTTTTTTTTTAAATTTATCACAATCTCATGACTTGGATGTAGTTATGTCTTAACTCTATTGCCCCGGGTTTGTTTGATATTTTTTAATCTCATCCTTTAATATTGATTTGATTAAGAATTAAGTTTCATAATTTATTATATTTTTTTTCTATAAAGTTATTCTAGCTTCATGATTTGGTGCACGAGTTTGGTTTATTAACTCGAGTTAACTTGAATGAGTTTTTTTGTGTTTTTTAATTATTTTTTTATCCTTTAATATTAAATTGATTGAAAATTAAACTTTTATAATTATTTCTATATGTCGATATCATGGTCTCATGACTAGGGTTTGACAGGTTAATTCAAGTTTATTCAACTTATTTTTCTAATTAAAATTTATTTTTAATTTATCTTTCAATAATCAATATTATATTAATTGAAAATTGTGCTTAATATATATATTTTTATTTATTTTTTATAAGGTTATTATGTTTTCATGATGTGAGTTAAGGATTTGGCAGGATAAGCTAAATTAATCAAAGTGAATTCAAATAGATTCAATATGTTGTTATCTCAATAATTTTTTAAAAAATATCCTTTTTATTTTTCAAGTCAAATTATATTTTTACTAGTTATTTTAATTATTTTTAAACCTGTAAAATCAACTATGTTACATTGAATTAACCTTTATGTGATTTTTTTAATAAAAAAATATTTATAATACCAAAACAAATATTATATTTAACAAAAATTTAACCTCCCTCTCACAGCAGAGCGCAAACAATTATCTAGTCCAAACAAAGAGAAGCATGCCAGAGTTTTTATATGAATACATTAATCCGATATAAATGATCTACTTAAACTCTGGGTTAATAACAATAATAATAATAAAAGAGAGTTTTGCGAAAAAAACCAGCAATTAGATTTTACTTCCATAATTCTCTTATCTATTTTTCACTCAAATCAAATAATTTTATCAGAAATCCAACATCTACGTCTTTAATATTGTAAACTTATGAGTATGTGTTTGTTTTTCTTAAAAAAATTAACCTGTGTTCATTGATATTTTTAAGTATTTTTTGATATATTAATATTGAAAAAATTAAAAATTTGTTTTTCTAATTGATAATTTTTTAATATGTAGTTTTAAAAATAATTTTGTATTTAAATTAATATCTCCTATCTCATATTTGTTTTAAATTGTTTTTTATTTTTTTCAATTGTAGTTTTTTTAATTATTTTATATTTATTTAATGTTTTGAAAAATTATTTTAATTCATCTGTACTTTTTATGTTTTATATAAATAAAATTTATTATTAAAAATAAAATTTATTTATTACTGATAAGAAACAATGACCTCTAAGATAAAAAAAAAAAATAACAAATTATGTGCATCAAAGAAAAAAATTTGGGTTAAGTATCATATTTACCTATGTTTTATTTTTATGAGAATTATTATCCTTTTATTTTATAATTTCATGGTTAATAACAATTATTTATCAGTTAATACATTTTAAAATTTATTTTGTTTTGTATTTGCATAGATAATGTTTTTACATTTCTCAATTAAAAAAATTATAATATAGTGAAATGCACTCATAAATTATTTTATTTTTCTACTATATTAAAAATAAACTTATAATTTTATATGTCTTTATTAATGTATATAATTATTATTTTATTTTATTATATATAAAAATTAGCTTTTTAATTTACAATTATATTTTTACTTAATGTTAAAAAATATGTTGTTAACATCTACATATTTATTTTTTTATCTTAAAAAGAAATATTATATGATCTATGACGAGGTAAGTCAAATAGATGCATGTGTTAATTTTTTTTGTTATATTTATTGATATAAATAATTCTTGATTTATCTAATTTGTTTTGTTATATTTATTGATATAAATAGTTCTTGATTTATTTAATTAAATTTATATATAATTTTTTAATTTATAATTATAATTTATTACAATAGAAAAATTAAAAAAAATATCAACCCATAAAAAAGGTAGTATATCTCTAGATATTTTGTTATTTTAGTTTTATGTTCATTACTCATTGATACTTCCGTTATAATTCTACAATAATATTAAAAAAACAAGTCCTTACAAAACGATGTTTTTTTTTTAAAAAAAATCAATTTGAGTGGAATTCATGATCAAATAAGAACCGAAAAACTTAATTCAGAATTCTGATACTCACTGCTCAAGAAATAAAATAATACACAAAAATTGTTTCAGGATAAAATTGTAAATACGTGTATAGTTCGAGGGCCTTATCAGAGGTTCGTGCAAGAAAAAATATCTGCCAAGGTGCAACGACGTCGCATCCTCAACTCCCTTATTCGAGGCAGTCTCACCGCCATTAACAATAAACAAATAAAAATATCCGTACCAGTCCGTTACAAAGTAAGAAAGAAACCGAGGGGGAGAGAGAGGGGGGGTGATGCTGTTAAAGTAATGATGACAATACACCGAAATAAATAAATAAATAAAAAAAGACATCCTAGTAGCCTGACATTTTTCACATTTTAAAATCTCTTACAATTATTGTCTTTTCCTTTCTCTTTACTAAGCCTGTCTGATTATGATCTCTACAAGATAACGAATCTTGATGCCCCGCAAAATATCTTATCATCGTTTTTGACAAAATCACTCACGCCCACCCGAGATCCAACACTCAAAGCTTGAGCCAACCTTGCAAGGATCCACATCCTTGCAGATTATGGCGCCAAATTGACTGGTGATGGAGCTGGAAGTTGTCGAAATGGGAGGATTTTTAGTGATGGTTTGAGGGTCAATTTCGAAAGAAAATGGCTTTGGTTTCTTGCAGGAATTGATTGCTGTTTTGCATGTTCTTGAGAGGGAATTCTAGCTTTGAGATTTTAACATGAGCTCTGATGTGGCTTAGCGAATTGTGAAGAAAGTTTTTTTTTCTGGATAAGGAAATCACATAAAACGAAAAAAGGTTAGTTCTTTTTTTCATTTTTGGAAATGTTCCCTTTTTGTAACTTTTGAATAATTGCTAGTTAGAATTTAATGGCTACATTGCGTTTACGTTTCTAGTTAGAAAGTTAGAAACCCATCTTTCTTTGCAGGTGCTTTTGGACCGAAATGATAAAAAAGTTGAGTTAATTTTTTGGTGCGTTGAATGCCTAGCTTTGTAATCGATCTTTACGTGACATTGTGGCTATGCCAAGTGGCCTTGATTTTTGATGAAGACAGCCTAAATAATCACAAGTTGGATTAAAATATAATGGGCCGTTATTGGCATTTGAAGGAATGTAAGTAGTTGAGAATGTTTTTGGTTTTTCTAAGCGACTCTGTTTGAATTGAATGAATGTTGCAGGGAATGGCAGCTCCAGTTGAGCCTCCAAATGGGGTTCGGATTCAGGGGAAGCATTACTATTCCATGTGGCAAACTTTGTTTGAGATTGACACGAAATATGTGCCGATCAAGCCTATAGGTCGAGGGGCTTATGGTATTGTGTGCTCTTCTGTGAATAGAGAAACTAACGAGAAAGTTGCCATTAAAAAGATACACAATGCTTTCGAAAACCGTGTTGATGCGCTGAGAACTTTAAGGGAACTGAAGCTTCTTCGGCATCTTCGACATGAAAATGTGATTGCTTTGAAAGATGTGATGATGCCTAGCCAGAGAAGAAGCTTTAATGATGTTTATCTGGTTTATGAACTCATGGATACGGATCTGCATCAAATTATCAAGTCTTCTCAAGCACTTTCTAATGATCACTGCCAATATTTCCTATTTCAGGTATATACGTGCTGTCCAGTAGTGGAGCACGTTGTTCTTCTATACTTGTTGTTTTGGTAGAGAGTTTGAAAGAAAATGGTTGATCTGTGCAAGACAGTCTTTATTATTGGTAGTTTTTGCGGTAACCAGATGTTGAAATGTTTTGTAAATCGCTTGAGCTTGCTTGGATTCGGGTAAAACTTTCATGCAATTATTTAAGAGCTGCAGCAAATGTGGAGTTTCCAGATTTTTCTTTATGGCCTCTCAATCTATTATTACTTGGCTTTGGCTAGTAGCAATTATCCCCGGTCGGATGTAACCTTTGCATGTTACAACTGGGAAATGTGTTAGTATGCTTTGATGTGTGTTGTTCTTGTACTAATAGCATACCTGTCAGCATCATAATTTTCCTGTCTAGTTTATGATTTAGCTTACGAGGTAATGATTAACTCAGTGTTTAGATGTATGGTTCACTTGTCGCAACTGGGGTATTATATTGATATAGAGTTGTACTAGCATAATTCTTAACATTTCCTGAGTAGATGTTCTACATGCTCTGTTTTTTTTTTTTTTTGTTTTGTTACCCTTAAGTATTTCTTAATGCTAGTTGCTGGTTTGAGATTGGAATCAGTTTATCTGATCTTCCATTTCACTTGAACGAAGATTTGAAAGATCTCCATAGCGCCAATTTAAATTTTTAGGATACCAATCTTCAGATTTTCTTGGACAGTGCTTTAATCTTATACATTAAGCATTCTTTTCAGGAGGCTTACGTTTTTGGTGCTTAGGTTCCAACATTCATGATCTTAGGAGGTCCCACAAAATCGTTTCATTTTTCTCGTGGTATTATGATAAACTGCTTGTGTAGTTAGTCCTGTTCCTGCAGCAAGATATCTGGCAATAGAGTCCTGGGAATTTGGTTTCATGCTGTAAAAAATGTGGAATATTTGAACAATACCATTTTGCATCACGTCTTGCATTTGAAATTTTTTTCTACTTTTGATTTGGATTGTCATCCTTTTGTATTATTAATTTTTCACCATTTAAATATTTTCCTGTTCTTTAGGCTTTCCATTTCCATTGCATGGTGACACATTTTGTGGCATCCAAATGATATGTTTTCTAGGTCTAAGAGTCCTTACTATTCTTACAATTCTTACTTTTTCACGCAGTTGCTTCGTGGTCTGAAATATCTACACTCAGCAAATATTCTCCATCGTGACTTGAAGCCTGGAAACCTTCTCATCAATGCGAACTGTGACCTAAAAATCTGTGATTTTGGGCTGGCACGCACTAGCAGTGGCAACAACCAGTTCATGACTGAGTATGTTGTCACTCGTTGGTATCGAGCTCCAGAGCTCCTTTTATGCTGTGATAATTATGGGACATCAATTGATGTCTGGTCTGTGGGATGCATCTTTGCAGAGCTTCTTGGTCGGAAGCCTATCTTCCCTGGCACGGAATGTCTCAATCAGCTTAAACTTATCATCAACATCCTCGGAAGTCAAAGTGAGGAGGATCTTGAATTTATTGATAACATGAAGGCAAAGAAATATATCAAGTCACTTCCTTGTTCACCTGGGACTCCCTTTTCCCACCTTTATCCTAATGCACATCCTTTGGCAATTGATCTGCTACAAAAAATGCTTATTTTTGACCCATCAAAGAGGATCACTGTCACTGGAGCACTGGAACACCCTTACATGTCTCCACTATATGATCCCAGCTGCAACCCTCCAGCTCAGGTCCCAATTGATCTTGACATAGATGAGGACTTGGGGGAAGAAATGATACGCGAGATGATGTGGAAGGAGATGCTTCTTTACCATCCTGAGGCTGCAGCGGCCAATGGTGAGGTGTGCTCCTAATATCGTCTGTTAATTCTGCTGGCCTAAGAGGGTCGCTATTTTGCTTAAACCAAGGAAGTTGTGGTTAGTGTTACTAGTTCTTTTGTTCATGCTCTATTTCCCTTCTTGTTTCAATAAGCTTAAAGAAGCATGCACCAGCCAGCTACGCTGGCTGTGCATGACATGACTAATTTTTGTTTTAAGAGTGTTTATGAGCTTGAGCTCTGAAAATTAGGTGGCCCTTTCGGTTTGTGTATAGGTGTGTTTTTGTACGTTTATGGGAAAACTTTGTAAATGTAGTGACTGAAGATGTGTGCCTAGACTATAATTATGACTTAGTTTCATGAGGAAAAAATCTTCCTAATGGGTGCCAGGCAGTGAGCTTCTAGTTTTTTATCCATGTAATAAGCAAACATGTACTGGTAAAAGGTGGTAAGTTATAGCACCTCTTAACCTATATTTCTCCTGTCTGCATATTTCCTCTTTGTACCTCTTTTCTGGGTCATTTGGCTAGAACTATAAGCCCATTAGTTGGTGCTTTCTTCGAGGTGAGGAATCCAGTTTGAGTTACATTTTTATCATCACTGAACCAGGAAAAATATACCGCGAAGAAGAGGAGTGCTCGAAAATGTGATTTTAGCAGGAGGTTGGTTGAACCTTGTTTCAGGCCCTTGACTTTTATTAGTTGGACAAATAAGTGGCAAGGCCTGAGCCTATTTTTCGGCCTCTTGTTGTGAACCGGGCTGGTAGGAATCGGACATTTTCTTCCTCTCCACTGGGTCGAGGCCTCAAAGGTTCATGTTTTCAGGCTTGGACTTTCGGAGAAGTTAAGCCTCTGTACTCCCACTGCCCTTGGGCTATTACGATCTTTTGTACATGGCACAAACACAAGCAATAGAACGCCTTCGTCATGAAGAGCGCGATAAATTGACTGATATTCTGTTTTCAAGTTTTGAGAGCAAATTGGTGCTCTATTGATCCGGGTAGATAAATTCAGTTCGTTGGAGAAAATAAAGGCTTGGCTGCTACAAGAATGATATCCCTGATGATTTGTACTTTCAAGCATGGTAATGAAAACTGGTGCGACCCATTAATTAATTATTCAGCTCAAGGCCTAGGCCTGGATCAACGGTTTAACGAGGTTAATTAAAATTAATTCAAGTTAATGAAAAAATAATATTTAAATTTTTAAAGATAAAACGATGTTCTTTTAAATTTTAACTAGGAAGATTGGGTTACAAGTTGAGCTATAGGGCCAATCTTGATCAACTTCCGAGTTAAATTTTTATAAACACCATGCTCGAGCTAGGGACAGCTCGGCAGGTCCAGGTTAGGCTGGGCTTAATAAGTGTGCTTTAAGGAATGCCTAACACATACAAATATAAAACCAAGTTTCATTATAATGCCTTTCAAGGGCACCGCCAGCACAGTGTATCTGCTTGGCAGCTGCACTGGTTTTGCAATGTATCAGATTATCCACCTAGGCACCTTTCAAGTTTCAAATTTTTAGGTTATTAAATAAATATATAATTTTTTTTAAGATCAATTATTAATTTATATACATGAATTTTTAAATTTAATAGTAAATTTTTAATTTAAAAACACTATCTAAAATATTAAAAAATAAATTTAAAAGTATATAAAATTAAAATGAAAGTAAAAATAAATACATTATTGAAGTTACATCCTTTGATGTCTTTTGAAATATAATTTATTTATAATTGAATCTAACTCGATATTGTAACAACCCTTCAACCGAGATAAAATAACAATCTCATGTCAACTGGAAAACAAAATAATTAAATTTTTTGCTTCTCTCAATTTCTCCTTTCACTTGATTCTTTCTAAAATTAATGTTTTATAAGTTAGACTATGTAAGCTTGCTAGGTTTTTTTGATGGGATTTTTTATTGTTTTTCCCTTACTCTTTTCTTTTTCTCTCTCGCATTTTCTTTTCTTTCTCTTTCTATTATGCTTCTGCCCTGTTGGAAAAATATAAAAAGAAGAAAGAGTTGATTTATTTTATTTTTTAATGGTAAATAACTATTTTATAGTTAATGAGTCATTTTTTTTATTTAATAATTATTTTTTTAGCATCACCAAGCTTCATTCATCCTAAAATTTTAACTAGATTTTATTCAATATATTTTAAGATTCCTCATAAAATTTTAGCTCAATCTAATAATCGGATTGAAAATTACATCTAATAACATAAAAATAGTAAAATTGTGATTTTTCATTAAATTCTCAATCAAGAATTATAATTTTTTATATAAAACTAATTAAAAAAAATTAATAAAATTTTAATCTCAACTATATTCCATCCAAACCTTTAACATGCCTCGGCCATGGAGCCACCTTTGTCAACCACGAGAAGAACTTCGTCTGAAGTGCTGCTGATCAGTACAGTAACTAAACAATCATGCATCTGTTGATAGTTCACGCGAGCTATATATATATATATATATATATATATATTATTGTACTGATAGTTTATGTAAATATATAACATGCTAGACTCGTATAAGTTTGTGCCTGTGTGCCTGTGCTAGTTTGCTGTGCCTGTGTGCCTGTGCTATGTGACCTCCTGAATGATTATTGTACTGATAGTCTATGTAAATATATACTTGCAAGTCTACTGTATGGTTCTTTAAATCTTGTCGTAGAAACATACTATGACAATTTCTGAATGAATTAGGTGATGAAGGTCTGAATTAATCAAAATGCTCATATGGTATACAGAAGTTACATTTTCTGTGTCTGTATGCATTTGTATATACAAGGGTAAGAGCTATGCATGCTAGATATAACAAAACTTTCCAACGAATATATCACAAATAGAAACAATGGCATCTGTTTCAATCCCATCCACCTTTTTTTGGTCACTTATTTTATATGTTTGTTCGTGATTTATATATTAATTTTTTTTTTCTGGTTGTTAATCATTAAATGAGGTAAGAAAGATCAATAATATAAATAGTATTTTGATATTTCACTTCACAACTTAAAATTTTAAGTTAAAATAGTTATTTGACATTTTAAGAAAAAATTTATTCATTAAGTATTTATAAGTTTGAATCTTATAAATATTTATATAAATTTTAAGTTTAATTTTTTTTTATCTAATAATTTAAATTTTTATGTTTATATTTTTATTTGAGATAATAGGTAAGTAGATTTCAATGGAGATTTTCACACAGGCTAGGCAATATAATTTATTTTTTTGGTACTACTGAGAGCAGAGCCCTAAGAGATCAAAGAGAACTGGGTTATAAAATCAGCCCTAAGAGATCAAAGAGAACTAGGTTATAAAATCAGTGAGGACTAATTGAGTTATGATTGGAGTGGCGCATAAGGGGTACCACCAATTGAATGGAAAAGAAAAGGAACGCGGCGCAAGTGAGGTTCTGGCCTAGTGGTGGGAGGGGTTTGTTCTCTTTTTCCACATCTGGGTTCGAACCTCATCATGCACGCCTGTCATCCCCGCGGTGCCTTACCTGCTCACCAGGCTTGCAGGATGTTCAGTGGGCCTTGAGGATTGCAGGATGTTCAGTGGGCCGTGAGGATTAGTCGTGGTGCACGTAAGCTGACCCGGACACCCCACGTAAATAAAAAAAAAAAAAAGAAACGCGGCACGTAGTGTTTGACCTATTTTGTGTCGAGACAGTACTGTGACAATATTTGAATTCCCAAAGAGATCACGGTATACCCCATTAATTAAGAATGGTAGCTAGATAATCGAGAGAGATTTGGCACCATGAGAAGCTTCTTGGCTCTTACTGAAAAACAATGCTTTTATGTATAGTGTTTCAGGATGGTTGGAGTCTTTTGTCAACTTTTAAAACCTTTATACTACCGTGTATGCATACCAGTAATTTAACAGTAGACAATTAGACATGATTTTCGACATCGAGCAGCCAGTTTTGGACTCACTTCGGCAAAGCTTTTAGGGTTCTCCGTTACTTTGATTGACAGATTGCATGTACAATTAATGGAAAATGCATGAATCCTGAGTCATCGTTGAATTATTTTCTTCTTGTCTCCCACTCAACTGTTCATATGCTTTTAGACACTTTCAGCAGCTAGACGGAACCAGAAAACTAGTTTTCACACACTTGGAATGTGATTCTTAATTAAAATATTGAAATCTAACTTTCTTGGTAAGCACATGAGAGTACAAATTGGAATCAAATCATGATCTTCAATAAACTAACCAACCAGAAAGAATTTGGAAAAGTCATTGTCTTTTCTTTGATAATTGTATATCAAGTTTCTAATATACTGATTGATGTAGGTTCCTTTCACACCAGGGTTAGAGTTTTAATGTAAATTTAGAAATAAATTAATTATAGATTCCCTTTTCCTCTTATTTATGTTCTGTAAAAAATTTTAATTGAAACATTTGAGCAGCTTTTTTAAGGAAAAAAAACTTCAAAGTAGCATTATAGAATCTGGCTTTGGTCGGGGCCTTGTTGGTTGGTGTATGTATTATTAGAGAGACCACTTAATATTTCCCTGTTTACAATTACAAAAGACAAAAAATATCATCTTCTTGCTTTTAGACTGTTAGTTGTCTGGAGCACTTCGCATTTAATTTAACTTCGCATATCGAATCAGTTTATTAAGGAAATTTCTGGCTAATCAAACCTCCCATTCTCTTGATTGAGTTAATTAATGGTAATTCTGCCTTAATTCCAAATTCCAAGGCAATGTGCAAAGTTTTATTTAACCTTGATAGGTTTTTTTTTTCAACGGATTAATTCAGTGATTAAGAAAGTTTGTTTTTTTTTTTTTTCCGAGTTTAAAACTTAAAAACATTACTGAGAAAATTATCTAAATGCCCCGACCAAAGATTTCTCGTTTAAAATCCTTAATAATTTTTCAAATAAGTATGGAATAGTTCATTTATTAAAATTAATTTTAGTAGAATTAAGGTTATAGTATCTCATAACATCCCTTACAAATCCTTATAAAAATACAAGTATCCAAATTCGTATAGATATATAAGAGTTATAATAATAATATTACTCTTGTCATATTTGTTGGTGACCTAAAGGATACGGTCATCAACTTGAGAGATGACCATAATATAATCTTTTGAATGACTAGTATTAATCAGGGATACTTATATCTAAGTCATTGAACTTTATGTGTCATCCATAAAAATTTTAAAGCAGTTTTAATTGTCCCATCAAATTTGAAATCTCCTGTAAAACATTCATATCCCTTCTTCCAGCAGAAAAAGGTTGGGTACATTCTCTCTTGAATTTAGAGCCAATTCTTACGACATAAATATTTAACAAGTGACTTCAATTTCTAGTCTAAAATTGAAATAACATTCATGAGATATATTTTCTTTTCCTTTTTTAAAAATCGAAAGGGTAAGAGGAAGAAAAGATTGAAGAAGGTGTACGAAGCATAAAAAAAGAAGATCTTATTAATGTATTTCTCTTTGTTGTCAAATTACTCTTTTCT